GTTTTTCAGTTCTTTTTAACTCAGTTCCTTGATTATTAGAAATTTTTGCAAAATTTCGACCAATGAAACAAGTTGCGGTTTTTAATTAACGTTTTCTATTTTACTTTTATAAATCAATTAAGTGAGTTAGAGAAAACTAAAACAACCGGTAGGTGTCTGAATCTTGAAAGAAAAATCGCGAAAAAAATATCGAAGAGCAAAATACTAAAGAATGCTGTCAAACCAGCTAATTATGAAAGTATCTATTTGAGAAAGACTTTGATTCTTCACCATTTAAACTCTCTCAAAAATTTGATGAGTGTACACGAGTGTACAGAAGACCGATCTGGAAATTTGAACGTTCGGGCATAACACAAGATCGAGAATTTTCTCTTATGGGAGAGGTTAAGTTTTACAACGCATGCTTCAATCTTCAGATAGTGGGTGACTCGAGGCCGCGACATTTCAACATTCACTTAAGTCAAACAAAAACTCTGGTCGATGAGTCCACCGGTTTGTGCAGTACAAAGCACTGCTTTCCTGAGGACGAAGAAAAGGGTAGTGATACTGAACAACGGCCACCACCGGCACGCTCAATGTCATTGGAAATGGCTCAAGAGATATGTAGAATGTATTTGGATAACTATCTGAGTAGAATTCCTCGATTGCCTCAACAACGAAGCGTTCATTACAATAGTACGATTCAAGGTGTGTATGATGCTTGTGTGTTCGACGTTGAAGTCACGGGAATACCATCAGTAAGTCTGATCATTGAAATAACACATTTTTTCTCGTATTTATGGATGCATTGTTACAGGTCGCTGAGGGTAGCATTGAGGCGTTAATGATTGAACAACTGACGACGGACAGTACAAATATGGAATCTCTTTACAATAGTTTAAATGCAGGTCTTCGAAAAGCAATTGATGTTCTCAAGGCGGCAAACCGACAATCAAAAGCACAAGTCAAGCAAATCGTCAGTCACGTAAGGAAAACGGATTTTCTTGTGATTCAAAAATAATAGACGTATTAAAGATTATGAAGAAATCAGATCTAGTGAATTATTTCTACAGAAAACTGACGCGATCCTTTGCTATTTTACTTTCTTTCAATTCGTAGAGCTTATCCTCTGATCATCACGTTGGTGAACAGTCCGTCGGTGGAAAGTCGTTCACCTCTTCTCTGGTACTGGTCGTGGTATATTCAATTTGTATGATATTTCTCTTCGAATAAAGAACTCTTTTATCGTAAATATTTCTGCTTTACTCTTTGTTGAAAATGTCTGCGAATCAGTCGGAGCGATAAGACATTACATAAATCGTGAACAATGTTCTGATATTGAAGTCTTTTTTGTACCGTATAGGTGACTGTGATACTGTCGGTGCAAACAAGGGCACCACTATTTCAGTAGGAGACGAAGGCTGCGAGTGTGGACGCAGAGAAGCATGGATGACAAGCTCGCCCTACGAATTTTGAGATCTCGAGACCGGAGTTAAGGCGCCGGTAATTCAAAATTCGAGCACTTTTTAGTTTTCGTTTAAACACACATATTCGGATTTGTTCTATGCTGCTGATTCTGAATCTGGCCTTATTTTTTGATTTAAACAAAGTTTTGACGGAGAAAAATGGAAAATACTGACAAACTGTCAAAAACTCGAAAAATCTATCTTTTCCGAAAAATCACCCCAAACATTTTGCTTTTCATTTTATGGAATTTTCGACGTGATATTCGGATTCCTCGTATGAAAATGAGCCTAAAAAAGTTGTGTCGAGTTCGATCGCATACAACGTCCTCCCTACACAAACCCAAACGGCCTATTACTATAAAATGGGAGTGCGAATGTAAAAAAGTGGCCTGAATGAGTGTGACACCGTCTGGAAACGTGTGGTTGGGTCGCATACCACTAAACGAAACACGGTATTTGAAACAAAGAGCGATGTTTATTGGTTTCTTTTGAAAATTATTTCGATTTTTTCTATTAGTATTCCAAAGAACTGTATTTTTTATGAACTTTGTATCGGTATTCAAGCATTTTTTAGTTCGACAAACACAAAAAAAGATAAAAAGAATTAGTAAACGATCAAATTTTATAGTAATTTGGATTTTTAGCTAGCAAAGTTTTCCTCTGGAAACCTACTAGAGATTCTCAAATCATTCCCGTGTAATTTGCAATGGTTTTTAACCTATATGAATGTATTTTGACGAGATTTGAGTGAAAAATACGTTTTTTATTCGGAAATCCCTTGAAGGATTTCAAGGTGTTCATATAGTACGCGCAAGTATTTTTCAGCAAAACGCGTTTCAAAACACCAAAGGCTATAACTTCGTAGCGCGTCGAAAGGCGGTTCTTCTGGCGCAAGAACGAAGTCTCTAGGTATTCAGCAAAAAAACTAGTAGGCTTTGCCATTTTCCATAGTGCAAACAAAGGATGTAGGCCGCTTGGGTTTGTGTAGGGAGGACGTTGCATGATTTCTAAGCCAAAATACTTAAATGAAAATCCATGAAAAATTGCCAGCTGCTACGAAAACTATCTCAGAAAATTCTGAAGATGACTTACAAACAAAAAAGTTAGACTGGACCCAAGTTTTTGAACTCATTGTCCTTCTTGTTTCTGTTGCTTAATATAGGAATTCAAATCTGATATCATATTTGGATTTCTCGATACAAGAAGGACTCGAAACATTATAATTTCAAAACTTTTTCGTTACTGTGACGAAGACAGCCTTCTAAGGGCTCGCGATGACTCAAAGGGGAAAAAGCACCACAAGGCGAGTGTACCCATTCCGGAATACCTTTATTCGAGAATGCCATTCTGCTATTCCAGAATACCATTCCGTTTTTTAGTAGACAAGCGAGTTTTCAGGTGATAAAAATAGTTGTAAGAGAAACTACAAGCGAAAGCAAATCTTCATTTTAAAACATTGCACGTTTTTTCTTCTTTCTGTATGTATATTCAATATATGCACGGTCTAGCGTGTATTACCAGTCAATACAAAAAGTAAAGTACTATAAGCACTCACATACAGTAAAAAATTCCTTTTTTTGCTACGTTGATTCAATATAACGTCTCCTTGATTTTAATCTGTACGTTTGTACAGCTATTACTCTATCTCATTTTGAAAAACATATTTTGTCATCAACCGAACACAATTAAACGGTAAAAATATGGAACATCTTATTTTAAACGATGTGTTGAAATTAAAAGGTATAAATTTTTATAATTTTATTGAGAAAGAAATCGGACCGGTGGCAAAAGAAATATTAGAGGTTCAAGGTTATGATACGTCACTTAGTCTAGCCCGAAATAATGATGATGTGTTTGTAGTATTTAATAATGATATTAGAGATTTGGCGGAGTTGAGAAAACAAGTTGGTTTCGACGTTAAAAATGGAGATGACGTAAAATTTGAAGTCATTTTGTATACTTTATCTCGTAGTTTATTTATTCAGTCCAAACGTTTCGGTGTTTTATACACCTTCTTCAGTGGATAAATAATTAAGAAAACACAAAATTGAGCGATAAGAAATATAAAGCTAAAATTCATAACATCTAAAAACGTAAAAGAGGATATTGATAAGAATCACTACTTTTTCACTACTTTTCCTTTCTCTCTCGGTCTTAAGTTATGAGTTCTGTTGATGTCAGGCGGTTTTTCGGCTCTCACGAATAGACGTCCGGATCCTCTTTTCACCCACCTATGTATGGTTGGAAGCCATTGACTACATATTATTTGTTTATTATTATATCCGTTATTAACCAATGTGTATATCGTTTCCAGCCTTTTTCGCCTATATTTATTCTGTTCTCTATCATAGATGACAGTCTCATCAAACCTAATGTGGCATTCATCCGTAGATATACTGTGTTTAGCTAATTCGGAATCGCCACAATCATCCCCTCGTAATGCTCGATCAACATACGACTGATGTTCACCTTCTCTTCTAACATAGTCATTTGTTTCTCCCACATACAAGGCAGCACACTCGCACGGAATTCCATATATCGATGGTACCGGTTGTTCCGCATTTTTTCTCGCAATTAGTTTCGCTTTATTAATTCTGGCAAATATATTTGGAGAATGTTGGGAAAACGTTTTAATATTAAATGTTTTTAATTTCGATTTTATTCTTTCGTTCATTCCCTGAAGGTGTGGAAGTACCACCATACCCTCACTTGCACTCTCTTTAGGTTTCGCCTCGTTTGGTGCATTTTGTATCTCATTCAATCTTTTTATTTCATGTTCCATTTTTGATCGAACAGTTTTAACCGGATAATTACTGTTCGTTAACATGATCTCTAAATGTTTCAGATCATCATCATTCCTCTTTCCATTATTCGCTGTTATCACTCGGTGAGTCATATTGTTTATAATGTTGTTTTTAACCGAAATTGTATGGTTTGATGTGTAATCGAGAAAACTGACGGCTGATGTTGGTTTTCGATACCAACTAGTGTCTATCGACTGAGTGTCTCTTTTTATATGTAATAAAACGTCGAGAAAGGGTAACTTATCGTCTTTCTCATATTCAGATGTAAATTTTAGCGTACTGTCTATGTTATTTAAATGGGTTTTCAAATTTTGAATCATATCTTTATTCATTTCTGATATTAGGATAATATCATCAACGTATCTTCCGCGCAATTGATATGGATATTTTCC